CGTTGAAAATTGTTGAAATCGGACTAAAATTGAGGCCGCTTTTCATATAACGGTAAATTTCAGAAATGCTTGAAATTTCAATATTTCGAAATTTAAGGACGCTAATTTACTTAAAATGTATACACCCCGGCTTATCATGTAGCGGTAGCTTTCGGAAAGGTGGAAAACATATATTTAATACTTGCGCCGGGTATTTAATGTTCGGCTCTGCCCGAACTTAGACTTTCTTACTTGTTTTTTTTTTTGTTTATCCTGGACAAAGAGTAACAACCATTAATTTAGTTTCAGATAAAACCGCATATAAGTACTTACCGTAGGATGAAAAATACATGCGAGTGAATAAGTCAATAAATTTTAGTTTTCAGCTTTGCTAGTTTATTTTCAAGTCTATACATTGCCAGTGTTTTAGTTGTAGTTGTTTTTTTTTTTGTTAGCTTCACAGTCAAATTATATTTAAGACTTTCTTAGAAAATAGTTTTTAAGCGTAGACTGTACATTAACCGAGGGTTCCACCAGCAATTCAAATGGAAAATGATTTCTTATTTTCTGACACTCTCGATATAAAATTCAAAAAATTAAAATCATGTTTTACTTAAATTGCTTTCGTGAAAATGGCTGTAATACATATATCTGAATATATACACATAAAATATAGTCAGCATAATACGGAAGTTCGAAATATATAATTAAGAATATAATTTCGCACATTAGTTTAACTTCAAGTGGGAAATAATAAATTTGCACAGTACATGTAAGTATATAACTGAGTAACTATTTTAATAAAAACGTATTTACAAAGGCGCACGAAATTAATTCATGTATGTAATTTTCTTTGCCGAATCTATTTAATGCAGGTTTGTAAATACTTAAAAATACATACACAAAGCCACTACTAAATATTTGTAATGCATTATAAACTACATAAACATTTATATACATAAGTATTTGACGAATTCGAGTAAGCATTAGAAACAAATCGCCACTCTATGCCTTGTGTAAGTTCATATGTACGCACATAAAGACTTAAAAATTTTAATGTTTTTTTTTCAGGTTTTTGATTTATGCATTTACGAATAGTTAACTACTAAAGCGTCTAATACCATTTACGCGATTTCTTATTTTAAATACATACTTACACACAATCAAATACGTTTGCATTTTCATGACTTAAAGAGGACTTTACAAGTTCTTAAAAAATGTAGTAAATCATTCTAAATACTATTTAAAACTTTGTTTTTGTGTCTCTTCAAAAGCGTATCGTTTTCTTTGACTTAACCTACATACATATTTATACAACTATAAACTACAAACATAGTTACATGTAAACTCAATATTCTCTGCTATACATATGCATGCGTACACATACATATAGTTGCGTATGTACTTACATATACATACGTAGGTACATACATACATATGTAATAAAGTACATTTAATGACGAGCATCTTTTAATTGGCTTTTGGAAGATAGCTGGGACATGTACGAGTACAACTTGTGTCCAGATTGTCAGCGCGTTGTAACTAGCTGTCGAGTGAGGTGAGCGAGGCAGCAATGTGTGCATGGAAAATAGAGAGGAAGAGAAAGAAAAATTGTAAACCTAATTAACACCAAAAAAATCTTCGTAGTGTTATTTACTTTTGGGTAACTGACACCATACACAACTTCGGACATGCATATGTATGCATAGGTACATATGTATGTATGCGTGCACATGTGCCCTGTAGTCAAATGAACTAGTTGTAAACTACCCCACAACTAGTATGAATCGCATGCCCAACTAGTCAGCCAACTATCTTTTATCCATGCAATCAACTGGTATTTTTAACATGGGGATGTCCTACGAAATGGAAATTGTCAGATTTCGGTCAGAAACATACCAGTCTCATACTAGATCAGAATAGACAGAAAAATACTAGTCTAATTATGGACCAAAACCACTAATTTGGTAGTCAAAAAATAAAACGAATTCATGAATATACAATAAAAAACATTTAAGTACACTTTTTATTTTACATATTTTTATTTAGCAGCCTTAGATTTGCCAATAATTATTGTTAATTTTTTGAGTATTAATTAAAAGAAAAAATAAATACATAGATATTTCAATTTCCAACATCCAATACTCCTCATTTTCAGAATATCAACGAATTTACTAAACTCAGTAAATTCAACAGACGACTTCTCGGTAACAAATAAAGATTTTTTAAAGCTTTAAGATGAATTTCGAAGGGGAGGAGTAGTGCAGCTCAAATGTGCCCAAAAACCGTGATTTTTGTACTTTTAGGTAAGAATATTCCGAAAACCTGACGTGATCTGGGGTCAGATTCGAATTCAGCACGTCAAAGACCTTCGGAAAAGTATAGTCCGATTCTTGGTTAAAAAACCTTGTTGGCCTGTGTAATTCAAGCAGTTATTAAATATTCTTCAGGTTTGTCCATAGTTTGGCTTAAATATTGATAATAGAAATTAATGAAATAATTATATTAATCGTGTAATAAACAAAATAAAAAATAATTGAAAATGATCAAAAATAACAAAATAACAGGTCTGGTATAATTGAATACGTACTCAATTTAACGGTTTACGATATACCCAAAAAAAAGTTATATTATTTTGTGTACTTTATTGTATTAAACCGTCGAAGTCAAATAATACAGGGTATGAATAAATCGTTTGTACTTGGTACAACTCTGGTCATTTTAGAACTAGTTCGGTTTCTGTTAAGAAATTCTAGTTTGTAAACTAGTATTTTTCCTGACTAGTTTGGGATTTCACTGCAGGGTGTTAGTAAAAAAAGTGAAATAAAATTGTTGTAAAAGATTTCGTAAGAAATAGCACCAAACAACTGTAGTGTGTTTCTGTAAGAAATCGATTAAATTCTTCATTATAATGACGTCATGTCGATTCGATACAAATTTATCGATTGGTGGAAAAAAGTGTATCCGACAAAAAGTGTATCGACAAAATGCAGAACGTATTTTTGTATGAAAATGGAGGCACACTCATCTTAGAAAATGCATTAGAAAGGAAAAGATTCCAAAGCAAAATTTTATTTAAATGAAAATTTGAAAAAGATATACTAAGGGCTAATTTCACAGTGCGCATTTAACTCAGAATCGGCTGTTAACTAGAGATTTTCAGTACAAAAATCTGTAATTAACTGCTGATTCTGAGTTAACTACGCACTGTGAAATTGGCCCTTAGAGCCGGTTTCACCAGCAATTTAATTGGAAAATTTTATTTTATTTTCTGTCAATTTCCGTATACAATTAAAAAAATCAATACAACATATTTCACTTAAATTGCTTTCGTGAAATGTCGCTCGTTCTCATATCGAGCCCCAACCGCCAAAAAAACGTAAGCGACATTTTTTTAAAATTTTTTTTTTTTTTGATGCAGAATTGCATCTAAATGCTCTACGTGCATTTCTGCGTAAAAAAAAAAGTTTGAAAAATATGTTGCTTACCTTTTTTGGTGGTTAGGGCTGGATATACCCTTAGTTGCGTATGTAAGGTATACGCCCCGTAGCACCATACGTAATAATCTAACACGTTTACTCGCAGGCTTAAACTTAAATTCATATTATTTAAAATTAATTAATATTGGCGTGGTAGATTTTTAAATAGCTTTCCTTATGCACATACATACTACTTTTTTCATGTACATAAATAACAATTTTAGAATGAATTTAGTGTGTGCCAATAAAAATTGTAAAAATGGAATTTTAGTTTCTGGAATCATAGTACATTTGGAGGTACCTAAAATTATTAAAATTATAAAAATCGTAAAGATTCAAGAATTACAAAATAGCTGCGACAGATATTCCGCATGCTGGCATTTTGTATTTTTTGCATTTTGGTTGCACACTCTTGAAACTCCACAGATATATTTTATTTGATGTCAAGGTCCAATGCCTCAAATATGAACATTCTATTTTAAAACTTCCCAAAGTTCTTAAAAAAAAGAACAATTATGATTTTTAAACAAACGCTTTAAAGCTAAAATTGTTCAAATATTGATGGTGAAAAATTTATTGAAATAAATGCAAAAATAATGCTTTAGCGTTTTATTTTTCTGGCTCAAGAAGGAAGTTACACTAAAAGCTCGTGAGTTTTGAAAAAAGCATATCATTGTAAGTTACTTAAAATTCTTATATCAACATATAAATATGTTGTAGATATTCTTATGTTCATCCATGTTGAGGGCAACTAAATTTTAAAGTACGATAAAAATGAAACATGTATTTCTTCTAAACAATGATAAATCATAATAATAATAACGTGGTGTTACACTGACCATGAACTTTTTAAGTGACCTAATAGGGCTGGTCGAGCAATTCACGAAACTGCATTTAAAATTGTTGTAACACCCTCAAATTCTCGACTTATTCTTAAAAAAAAGCATTTTTACATGACTGCCCGCACTAAAAAATCTTTAGCTCGGCTATTTTTTTTTTAACAAATTTTAAGGTTTTTTTTTTTTGTGCTATTTAAAGAAATAGTAAGTTTTGTGAGCACATTGTAAGTAAGTGGACAATTTTTGGAGTAAATATGAAATTTACACCAATTTTTATTATTTCTTCCAATTTAAAAACATTGTTTTCCCCCAATATTCATGTACACTTCACATGAATCCTTGCTCATACTCGTAGCATGTGTCCATGTCTAGTCACAGCCTACTATTGCTACAATGAGCTAGTGAATTTGATATGTGCAGTAAAAAATAAAAATTAAATAGAATATAGTTTCATTTGCTGTGTTTATGTGTTTTGCCCTTACTTATAGAATTTTCTTACTAATAACTTTTTTGTTGTAAAGTTTATTTACCTTTAATATCGATCTTTGCGTTAGGAAGTCCTTTCTTCTCACAGTTCTGCTTAAAAGTTCACAGTTCGATTAAAAGGTGTAGATGTATTTTTGATTATGTTTTTGCTGTTAGTTTTATGTTGCCTGCAAATTTGTGCTGCAAATGAGGGAAAACAAAAAACAAATAAAGTATTAGATTTTTCTCCTGTAATCTGTAAAATATTAAAGTTTTTCCAGTTACTACGACTGTTTGGCTTCTCTTTTGAAAGTATTTCAAAACAACCTTATATTAGAAATTATGTATAGTACTCAGACGATTGTAGTCTTAAAACCCGATAAAAAACACCTATAGAATAGAAGAACAACGGGTAGAAAGTCGCTAAGGGCCAGTTTGAACTTAGATCACGTAAATTGCAAACCACGACCGGCTTCAACCGCGTACTGAAAAAATGGCGCAAAGAATTATAAAAAAGGCAAGAAATAAACAATAAAAACCGAAAGGTAGGCAAAACGATATTGATTTTAGTCGCATATGTTTGACGTTTTATTTGTTCAGTAGGATTGGAAAAAAGTCATCAAAGCATCAGTTAAGGAAATAGATGAATCGTTTGGTATTGATTGAGGTTGTACCTGGGAATTCTGGTACTTAATCTTCTTAGCCACAACAACAAATTTCTTTTACACAAATATGTTGATTGGCCAGCTTTAGCCGTCTAATTATTTTTAAAAATAAATTTCGCAGCGCATTCCTGTCTGCTAGCATCTCAAGTTCTTCGCACGCACGCCTTTCTTAATTTATTTTATTCTTTTTGAAAAACACATCTCTCTTTTCGCCTTCTCGTCTATTATCCAGGTCATGTGGTAAATGCTCTTCAGGTTTTTATAGTAAAGTTTTAAATTTTTTTCATATTATTTATTTTCTTATATGTATAGTTACTACCCTCTTTCTATATGCGGCATCTCACAAATACGAGCTGACCTTAAAAAAATGGGATTCAAGTCGGATAAATTGTCAAGGAAGGGTGCTTCCTTGGAAGGAGTTGACCTTCATACCACCTTCGGGATTATCAATTAAAACACAATGTTGACCTTTGAATGACCTTAAAGTAACCTCCAAGGTCAGTATTCCACTCGGTTTCGGAAAAATTGATTTTTTTTAATCAATATTATGTACTTTGTTTTTAATTTTTTAAGCTAAAAGAAAAATGGGCAGGTAGCGTGTAGCGTTCAGAATGAAAGTATCAAAATGAAACAACATTAAATAAAATGAGCAATATACATATATTCGCCAACTCAAAAAAAAAATACAAACCATAATTTTCACAATATTCTCTACCGAAAAATATAAAGTACACAACCCAAAAATCAATCAGAATTATTCAAAAAATTTATCCTCCCGAAATTACACACCCATGTTGTCTTTAACTTGCTGATTCAATGCATTATGAATTGCTAAATAGTTGACAATAGGTGAGAGAGGAAGCCGCAATGTCTTCTAGTAGCGTGGAGTGATTGACGAAGTCAAATACCTTTTTAAGAGATCCAACGCTACTACGACTGTTCTCCCACACGGTTGCTTTCGGTTTAGGCTATGAGTTATCTTAGTATTTGGGCGTTAAGTGCTGTTGTTGTGCTATGCACTCTATGAAACCCTTTCTGATGCCTCGCAGGGGTCAGGTGGTTTGTATAGTGCGTGGGTAACAAGGCCTCAAGTGTCAAGTACGACGGGTAAAAAGTATTACTGAAAGCTTTCTACGTATACTAACCGGCCTCGTATGCAATAGATATTAAACAAGATGCGACTGACAACTAAACAGGTTGCAACCCTACTAAAAAAATATATATATGATTGCGCATCTGGAGGCCAAGCTCTTTCATTTGACACCTCATTTGTTTTAATCTAACGAAACGCTCACACATTATTTAATTTTTCACACACGTTGCAAGCCTCTTCGAAAAATAAACCTTACTGCAATTCGAAAGGTCAAGCCTTTGTATTTGACACCTCATTTTTTTAAATTGAAAGAACTGTACAAATGTAATGCCATCAACAAAAAATGCCCTCGCGTATTACTCATATAAAATTTTTAAATAGGTGGCAACCCACTCAAAAAAAAAAAATAAAAACCTTTTTGCACATGCAGAGACCATATCCTTTCACTTGGTACCCCAGTTTATAGTCCAACAAACGGTGAAGATCTTATAATTTTTAAAAAGTGGCAATCCTCCTCAAAAAGAACTACATTATTGAACATCTAAAAGCCGAACCCTTTTATTTGATATCTCATTTCTTGTAATCCAACGAACAGTGTGGATCTAATAATTTTTTAGACAGGTGGCAACCCTACAGGAATTTTAAATTCTAAAGATAATATTCCTATCGGTACAGGTTATATTAAAAAAAAACTCCTATAAATCCGTGGAGAAGTTTTTGAGATTAGCTTGGTAAAAATATCTCGACTTTCCTTTATACTGTGTATAGAAGATAGTAATTTTTAAATAGGTGGCAACCGTATTCGAAGCATGAAGGATTTTGTACATGTAAAAGCCAGACCCTTTCATTTGGTATCTCATTTTGTAATCCAACGAATGGCGAAAATCTTCTAACTTTTTAATAGGTGGCAACCCTACTCAGAAAAGTAATACATTATTACACATGTAGACGCTAAGACTTTTCGTTTTACAGTCACGGTGCAGAACTGATGCCTACACTTATTGTGATTGAATATGGTAACTTTATTAACAGGTGGCAACCCTATTAAAAATATTAGTGCTTTTCTTTTTTTGACACCTAATCTTTTTTTTTTTTATAATCGGACGAACGGTGCGGATCTTATAGTTTTTTAGACAGCTGGCAGCCCTATTAAAATTCTAAGTAAAAATGGTCACTCTCCTGTCGATACAGAGTATACTAGAGAAAATCTCGTCAAAATACGTTCAGTAGTTTTCGAGATTTCCGGGTACAAAGAATCTCGACTTTCCTTCATACTATGTATAGATAATTTATGTTCTAACTAAATGTATAAATCTACGCTTTTTCAATTATTGAGAATTTTTTAATAAAATATAAAAATATAATTCTCATTTTAATTTTATTAACTTTTATGACTCATAAACAGGTAAGCGTCTTTGCAAGCTAAATATTTGGCTTAATCGCTTTAAAAGGCAATAAAAAAATAGTCGCAATTTTCTTTGATGTATGTATGTATAGCATTTATGATTTCCAATCTCGATTTCGCAGCCAATTATGTTTGACTTCTTGCCATGCTGACAATCTCATTTTCCAATTGACTTATTTATGCCACACCTGATACCACAAAGCACTAAGCGTGCTATTTATTTATATATACTTTTCGAAATCACTAACGTATTGGGAATGAGAAAAAATAATCCCAGCAATCAAAAATAGCAATTACTCATCACAAATAACAGAATTTCTTTATTTACTTACCAACAAAAATTGCTGCCAAATTTCCAGCCGAGTTCACTTCCATGAGCAAACACTTGGCATTGGGTGCCTTCTACTTAGGTGAGTGTACATTAATTTTGCTTTGTATGTGGTATGTGCGCCACATCCACACCACCATGCCACCACACACATACATATGTAAGTACACACACATTTACATTCAAGTCACATCACATTTTCAAGTGTTTGTGTATCGCATATGCTGCTGTTCAAAGTTCATCGTTGCTAGGTATTTGCATAGGAAGGGAATTACACTTGAAAACAAGTGCATTGAATTGTATCTGAGCGAGTGTAGGTGTGTGGATGCGTGGCGAGAGTGGTGGTAGTAAGTAGTATGTTGAAGTCGCGACTAAACCGCCACTCTAAGTTGCCAGTGACTTTCAGCGGTTTGTTTGTTTGTTTAGTTGTTCCAGCTGCTTACTTTTTTGTACTTTTTGTACATCAACTGGCGAGGAAGACGTGCAACATCAATGGAAACGTTGGGCGCAGGGATCGGGTACAGTAGCTGTTGTTGTTGGTTTTTGTGTTGTTTCTTACATGCTGTGTATTTCTGTATGCTCCGCTTGGTTAGTGTCTGCAAATATGAATGAGCAACACAAATAAAAACTTAGTTGTTTTTTGTCATCTAACGGTTTGTATGTGCGGACATTTGTACCATAGAAAAAAAGGGCTTGTAAGACATGCACTTGTGTGCCACTTCGGAAGCACTGCAGCATATGGCTATTTGACTTACTCACCTTGTTTGCATGTGTTGTAGCGTGTCGATACAAAAGTAACAACCACGCTACTCAACTACTCTCAGAATCATATCTTCCCGCTGCGTGCATGTAGCGTGCGTTTGCGACCGCAGAGTATACGTTGGAAGGCGCGTCGGAACTCCGGATTGAATATGGTATAAATGATTGGATTCAGAGTTGAGTTGAAGTAGCCCAGCCAGAGGAAGAGCGATGCAAGTACGGCGTTGATGTGACATTCTTTGCACAGCGACAGCAGCAGCGCCATCACGAAGAAGGGTAGCCAACAGACAGCGAATGCGCCCGTTATGATGGCCAATGTTTGGGCTGCTTTGCGTTCACGTTTGGCCTCTAGCATTTGGCGGCGCTTGGTTAGTTTGTGGTATGGATTGGGGATGCTGGCGAGCAGTTTGTTGGTTTGTGTGGTCGGTGTGAGCTGACTGCAAGCGGTGGGAAAGGCTGCGCCGGCGCCAGCGGCGGCCAGATGTTGTGCAGATTTTGTCAATGTAATTGCGATTGCCTGTTGTTGACGCGCAGTGGTGGCAACTTCGTGCGAGACTGTTGAAATTTCGCCAATAGCAGAGATTTGGGACTGCGTAGCGGTGGAGAGAATGACATGTGAAAGAAAGAAAATTAAACTTATGGGGTTTTTGTGAAAGTGCTATTTAGTTATGAATAAAAAACAAGTGCTTTGTAACTGAACCACGGTCGCTCTCAAACCCGGTTAATAAGAAAGAGCATTAGAAATGTACCTCAGAAATCTGGGCCAAGTTATTGCGCCTGGGCCACACTGGAGAAGCGAGACCTTCATTACATACANATCTTCTTTTAAAAATGCGCAGGCTCGAAATTGATTTTAGAGCTATGGTCTGGAGGAATTTTTTTCTTAGAATTTTATGAAGAATCCGAATATGCTGGGAACAATGTCGAAAAAAATCGATCCATACAAATTGACCCGCCCTAATACATATGTATATACATACATACATACATCTGCTTTGGCTTTAGGTTATATTTTTTGACTTTTCGACTACATCCCTACCTCTACCCCTGTTCGTTCTAATTAAATTTATGTTATCCTGTTTTCCTTTATCTTCATCTTTATCTTTATACTCTATCGATAACAAAACCGATAAAAATATCGATAACAAAATCGATGACGAATTCGATAAAAATCTCGATAGCAATATCGATAGTAATATTGGTAGTAAAGTATTAGAAAATCGATATAAATATAGATAAAAAATCGATAAATAATCGGTAACAAAAATCTAACAAAATTGATATAAATATCAATAAACAAATCGTTAAAAATGTCGATAAAAATATCGACAAAAAAAGTCGATAAAAATATCAAGAACAAAATCGATAAAAATATCGATAATAAAGTCGATAATTAATCGATAACAAAATCGATAATCAATCGATAACAAAATAGAAAACATAATCCATAAAAAATCGATAACAAAATCGATAAGATCGATAAATAATCGATAACAAAATGATAACAAACGACCACCAAACCATAATCTTAGCCGATGAATGTGCCAATCGAAATCGTAAACGCGGACTGTTGGAAAAAATGTTGGACCAAAATGTTTAAATTAAAAATCTAATTCTGGGCGGGACGAAGTTCGCCGGATCTGCTAGTTGAATTATATAATATAAGAGTTTCAATTCTAGAAATCTTCACTTACCTCCTCTGCATCGCCCGATGCCGTTGTCATTTCGGTCGCGTGACTTTTACTATCGAAATTGCTTGTACTGTACTCTGTCTCTTCGCGCATATTGCTTATGCTCAGTGAGTTGCCGACATTTGTTTCCATATTAGCGCCAGCCGTTACGGCATTCTGTTCTGCCTTGCCGAAGCATATTTTTAGGCGTTTACGCTTGCGCTGCATCAAAGCAGTGGAGTTCTTCTGCAATAACAATTGTGCAAAAGATACAAGCAAATGAAAAGTTGTATAAACACAGTGACTTGGCGCATTAAATTATGAATTTACATGAAGAGAATATATGTAAATCAATAGAGATTATAAATATATCACACAGATGTACGTTACGCTGTGTATGTATAACTAAATAAGCATGAAAATACGGTATCTTGGGACTTGTGTTTAAGAAAGTTGAACGCATTATAATTTAGATGTGATTTGTCGCAGATATTTTTGCTGGACCGCAATTTATTACACTATTGTTCCATTTGGATTTTAATTTGGTTTTCAAGACTCTCGAGTGCAGATGAAAATAATTTTGATTTAATTTCCTGATCTCTTCTCAAGCCTTCTTTGCATCACAGTGTATTTATTTGCATTCCTTTATACGCTCATGTGTGCAAAAACACTTGCTTGCCTCTGAGTATATACTTAAGCCTCCTAATGCATTCCACTGAAGTGGCATCATTACTTCACTTAATGACACACTCGCCGAAAATAAAAAAAAAACACTCACATAGTACAACAAATGCATATTTAACTACATACATACACGTGTGCATATGCATATGAAAAATTCACAAAAGAAAGGGAAGACTAGTAGGAAAGAAAGCACATATGCTCACACACACATTCACCCACATACTCTACATATACGATGTAAAGCCCTATTGAGCGCAAAACAGAACCAGAAATAACGAAACAACTGTCCGATGGCGTCAGTGTTGCCAGATAGTCAATTTTACTTCACTCTAAAGCACAGCTGGGCAGCGTCTATTTATTATCTATTATATTATATCTATTATTTATTTATTATATTTTTTATGGGCAGAATTTTATTATCTATCTCAGAATTCGGTTCAAGAACGCCCTATCTCACTTCACGATTTATTGAAAATGTGCTGGTATAGGGCGTTTTTGAGTCGGCAGCTGAGATAGGGCATTTTTGAAACAAATTTTGAAATAAGGCGTTCTTGAAAATTTTTTGAGATAGGCCGTTTTCGAACTGACTGCCGAGATAGGTCGATCTTCCACTCAGCAGTCGATACGTACATGTAACTGTTAACAAGTTAGGAAATTTTCCATTTAATCATTGATCTCAGAAAAAAAAAAATAAAATTTTGATATATGCAAAAATCCCTAAAAATATTTTACACCAAAATTTTCTTCCTAGTGGCTAAGAATTATCCTAAATCTAGAGAGAAATTCGCTTAACTGGCAACAATGGTTGGCGTTGCGTTGCCCAAATGGCGAATGCTTCAGCAAAAGTACTATTACCATTTTTTTTTGCTATATTTCAACGGAAATATTTTGCTTTCTCTCCTCTTCCATTTGTATGTTTTTTTTTTTTCATCTACATACTTTTCCCTTTCTTTGGCAACTTGCCGTCCATAGTAAAGCTGCTGAGTGTACTTTACCTAATTTATGAGAGATCTGTTTGCACTTTGCATGTGAATAGGCTTGTAATGCATGCAAAATGAGTTGTACAGCTAACAAAGGAAAAACTGCAAGGCGTCTGCTTGAACACTTCCAAGAAATACGATGTTGTATGCAAAGATACTTTGGCAAGCCACAAGAAGAAAACAATGCCAAAAAATATATGCAGCGAATGTTAAACCGAATGTTTAATTTTTTTCTCCTATCCCCGTGCATTGACAATTTTTCGGGGTTGACAAGTAATTATTGTTGACTATCATTTTGATTGCTCTGTAGCTGGGCTTCTTTCTTATTGATTTACTGACTGCTGGAATGATTTCTGCTACATACATACACATGTATGTATATATTATAAGTATTGTTAGCAAATGTTGTGTGTATGCCAAATGCGAACTTGATATAAAAAAAATAGTTGTGAATCATCTTGAGCAATACAAGGACATAGCCGTATGTATGTATATACACTCGTTACGTTAGTTAATATTCGTACACATAATGATAGTAATTTTTCTGCTACCCTTTATTTCTCCTTCTTGAAATGTTGGACGGTAATACCTATGGAGCGAGTGAGTGAGCGTAAGAGTAAAGTCATTGACATCAAGTATTTACTACATACAAATGTGGAAGGAAGTAAAGTGGCATATTAAGGCTAATATTTCATGCAGACAGATTGTTTGTTGGCAATAAAAACACAAATCTGTTAACTGTCATTCCAGGTTGCGTATACGCCATGGCGTGCTAGCAGTGTATAATCAAATAATCTTGGGGCGCTTCACTCATAAAGTCAATGACATTCACTGATGAGAGGTCATATTAAATAATCATGTCTTGTGAAAACTATAATTTATCCATTACATATTCACAAAAAGGGAATTCAATGTTGCTGACATATTTATACTTGCTTTGTATTTAGTCACATTGCAAAATTAATAAAGAAAAAAACCAATAAAAGGTTTCCTTGGGTTGGTCAAATGTATGGCAATTTGCGAAAAGAGAAAAATAAATTTACTCAAAATGCATTATAATTTAGTAAATGCTGTGTAATCAAGTTTCTGCTATTGAATGTTGTTTGCAGTAATAGATTTGGAGTACAGGATGTTCTAGACGTCCCCCCTCTTTAAAATGGAGGGAAATGTTTTTTATTGAAAAAAGCAAATATATGACCTACCAAATCGGGGTTGCTCTATCTTTGGTGATATTACCGACCTCCGGTTTCGACTGGAAGTGGGTTAAACTGGCCGGCTACTGACTGATTCAGATTCTGTGGTTAAAAATATGTAAAGCTTGTTTGAAACATTTTTCGCGGAAGTGCCTTTTCAATCTCTAAATGTCCTAGAACTCCAACTCGTCCTGGACTTTTATAAAGGACGAAAATGTTTTTATTGAAAAACGAAAAAATGTGTGCGAAGAGCTTGAAATGCTGACCGACAGGAATGGCCGAAAATTTTACCAGAGAGTTAGGCGACGTACGGAAGGTTTCAAGACTAGGGCATACTCCTGTAAGAAAAACAATGGCGGCCTAGTTACCGATGTTGAGAACGTACTTAAATTATGAAGAAACGACATGCACCATATAATTTCAAAGCCGCTTTCGACAGCGCGAAAAGAAGTTGTCTTTATGCCGTAATATCTGAATTTGGTGTCCCTGTGAAACTAATATAGCCGTGTAAAATGACGATGAGCAATACCACCAGCTCCGCCAGATTTGGAAAGGACCTCATCGAGCTGTTTGACAGCAAGCGAGGTTTCAGAAAAGTTGACTCCCTTTTGTGTAATTTCTTTAGTCTGATGTGGGAGAAGATTATAAGAGCTGCCGAACTGAACCGCTCAAGTACAATTTACTACAAGAGCGTGCAATTGCTCATCGACATCATCGGTAACAAAAACGGCGAAGTCTTCTATGTTTTTTCCAAATTGGACAAGGAAGCAAAACGAATGGGTCTGGTGGTAAACGAGGACATGATGAAGTATCTCCTATCATCAAACAAGTAGTCAGCCTATGCGCGCCTTGGCACCCACGTCATTATTGACAGTTATAATTTCGAAAACTAGAGAATTTCGTTTACTTGGGAACCAGCATTAACACCGACAACAATGTCAGCATGTCAGGAGCAGGCAAGTCCTCTCTCGTCGTACGAAACCACACTCTATAAGTCACTCATCACGCTCGTGCTGGTGTATGGCGCCGAAACATGGACAGTGACAACATACGACGAGGCGGCTTTTGGAGTATTCGGGAGAAAGATTTTGTGGAAGATTTACGGGCCTTTACGCGTTGGCGACGGCGAGTACCGCAGACGATGGAACGATGAGCTGCATGAGCTTTTCAACGATAGAGACATAGTGCAGCGAATTAAAATTCAGCGGCTCCGCTGGCTTGGCCATGTCGTTCGAATAGACACCGCCGCTGCAGCTCTGAAAGTATTCAACTCGGAACCCACTGGTGGTAGCAGAGGAAGAGGGAAGCCCCCACTGCTGTGGAAAGACCAAGTGGAGAAGGACTTGGTTTGACTTGGAATTTCCAATTGGCGTCAGTTGGCAGAGAAGAGAAACGACTAGAGTGCTTTGTTGAACTTAGATTGCTTAGGCGGTTATGACGCCGAAGAAGAAGAAGAAGAAGAAGAAGAAGAAGAAGAAGAAGAAGAAGAAGAAGAAGAAGAAGAAGAAGAAGAAGAAGAAGAAGAAGAAGAAGAAGAAGAAGAAGAAGAAGAAGAAGAAGAAGAAGAAGAAGAAGAAGAAGAAGAAGAAGAAGAAGAAGAAGAAGAAGAAGAAGAAGAAGAAGAAGAAGAAGAAGAAGAAGAAGAAGAAGAAGAAGAAGAAGAAGAAGAAGAAGAAGAAGAAGAAGAAGAAGAAGAAGAAGAAGAAGAAGAAGAAGAAGAAGAAGAAGAAGAAGAAGAAGAAGAAGAAGAAGAAGAAGAAGAAGAAGAAGAAGAAGAAGAAGAAGAAGAAGAAGAAGAAGAAGAAGAAGAAGAAGAAGAAGAAGAAGAAGAAGAAGAAGAAGAAGAAGAAGAAGAAGAAGAAGAAGAAGAAGAAGAAGAAGAAGAAGAAGAAGAAGAAGAAGAAGAAGAGGCCTTTGCTTTCGAAATTAGCTATCGTTATTACGATTATTTTCTTTTGTGACCCAACCTAATGTATATACATAGGTACTATAGTAATCGTGCATACACACATATATTCTACTCTATAATTGGCACATTAATAGAAACGAATTAATTTTGTGGTCATCAAATGATTAGTACATAAAATCATTGCTCAAATAAAGCAATTATAGCATAAATCATTGAGCGCGAGTGGGGAGACGCAGCTATATAATTGGCTCCAGCATCTGGCCATCAATATGTTGGGTATACAAAAAAATATATACTCACATATCGATGGCTGAGTGGAAGATCGACCTATCTCGGCAGCCAGTTCGAAAACGCTCTATCTCAAAAAACTTTTCAAGAACGCCCTATTTCAGAATTCGTTTCAAAAACGCCCTATCTCAGCTGCCGATTCAAAAACGCCCTTTATAAGCATATTTTCAATACATTTTGAAGTGTGATAGGGCGTTTTTGAATCGAATTTTGAGATAGGGTGTTTTTCAATTAAATTCTGAAATAGGGCGTTCTTGAAAAGTTTTTTGAGATAGAGCGTTTTCGAACTGGCTGCCGAGATAGGTCGATCTTCCACTCAGCCATCGATATACACTTGTGATGGGTGGCATATGTTGCTATCTACATACGATAATATAAAAAAGAAATATGTAATTGGGTCAGAGGCAATTTCACACTTCAGCGTTGGAAAATATTTGCACTTAGATGGCTGACATATTGAAAAAGCAATATATAAAGGGTGTCTCGAATATAACTTGGAGAATATTTGACCACATACATTTAGTTATTCTTTCAATCACACTGTTCCATAATAAAACAAAGTTTTCTTTGTTAAAACTTTGCTCGAAAACTAATGAACGGATTTTAATTTAGGTGGTGCGTGAGTCGAGATATTCTGAAATTTTGTATTTAACTTCCGATTTTGATGAAATTAAAAACTTATACTGCAAGTGTGTTGAATAATATTTTTCGAATAATTTATATGCTAACTGGCGCTAGAGTCCAGTTTGAATCTGCAGAAGTATTGACTTCTAGATGAAAAAAAAACTTATTCAGAAAATCCATATTTATGTTGGAATCAGTATTTATGATTTGATTTTGATGAAATTAAAAACGTATACTGGGTGTGCGATGAGAAATGATTTTCCGAGTAATCAGTCCGCTAGGTGGCGCTAACGTCGAGATATCCATAAAATGTTTATTTACCGTCTGATTTTTATGAAAATAAAAATGAATGCTGCAGGCGCAAAATGAAACTAAAATGAATGCCAATGAAAGAGTTTTAAGTAATATTTAGTTTGATAATTTAGAATATTTTTAATGTGTTTTATGGTTGCCCAAGTTTAAAAGGTTAAAATAAAATTATTTAATAAATTAAATTAAATACTAAACGGTGGGTTTAAAATCCTTTATTTCAGAACTATATTTAGGAGGGTTGCCACGTGTTTAAAAAATAAATTTCAACTTAATTCATCAGTTACTTGAAATATATATAACAATGTCATATGAAAAATATTTATGGAAATGTTGGTTCGAAACAAATTTTTAATACGGTTGCCGTTTAAAAAATAAAATTTAACTTAGTTCAGCAGTTAATTGAAATATGTTTAACAATACCAGACGATGAAAATACTTTTAAAGGGGTTTCCATCTGTTTCAAAAGTCAAATTCAGAGACCATCTATTCAAATACATGGACGCGTCCCAGATATACAGTGACCAACCACTGGACCCGACGACTTACCGACGAGTAATCAACGGCATTCATTGGGATTCGGTCACCCCCTACCACGACTACCGACCCATAAATGCCGTTATCGCAGCCCAATCACCTCCTGAAACAGAAAGGAAGCCCCAACTGCCAATTGAGACCCGCGCTACTCTGTCCCAGTAACGGAGCAGCAACCTGTGAAGACTCTCCCAAGATCCCAGCATCCCTAATGAGTATGCGACATTTGGTTTCTTCCCGCATGACACCAACCAGCTCCTCACATGACAGCTCAATCCCACTCAACTGGTACCCCCCAGCCCGTTAGGCCTTGGTACAAATAGGACCGCTTGTTTGATAAGGAGGATTTAATTCGTTTTTTTCCTCGTTTGGCCAGTTAATGAACAAGTAGATTTCTATCAGTTTATCTGCCGGAGTATTTACTGGCTGTTTTGGCTTTTCACCGCAGGGTGCGCCCATCACCTCATACACGCACGCACAACTGCACACACACACACACACACTTTCACCAACGAATCATTGAATTTAAACAGAATCGGTGCATTTCGATGGTTGAACGCTTTCAATTTGCTGAAAATGAGTCAATGAGATTGGATCACGGGTGATTTCATCAGAAGCGGGCGAGCAATTGTGGCCGCTCAGTGGGAGTGGGAATGAATCGTCTGATAAATGGCTATAGGCGCTATCAACTGCTACCAACACACTTATTTACATACATGCACACGCTTACATTTCACATATATGTATGTATGTAAGTACGTATGTACATATGCACGTGCCCCCATTTGGTGCGTAATTCAATTGCGAAGCATGCCTGTGGCGAATGCTGATGCACAAGAGAGATACTACATACATACATAGGTAGACGCAAATTCTTTTGTAAACTCGCAACATCATTAAAAGCTCTAAAATGATTGCATATTGATGCCTCAATCGATTGCCAGAAGCGACATGCAACAGCACAGCTGTGGCAAAAAAAATCAAAATTCTGTGTGTAGCTGATTGCCAAAGGTGTTCTGTTGGCTGTTGCTCAGCAGCACTTACCTGATTGTTGTTAGACGGCATTGCGAGTGGACGCTGCTGGATGCGGCGTTGAATGCGTTTACGTGCAATTTTGTAGATTTTCCAGTACAGCGCCAAAATTATCAAAAGTGGCACGTAAAATGTGCAACACGTTGCGAAAATCTGCAAGAAATAACAGAAACCATAATATGATGGCATTAAAAAGCAATGTTTCAGTGAGTATAAAAATGTACAATTACAAATGGGTGCATGCCATTAATTGTGCTAAAATTAATTGTTTATTTTGCGAGTTCTCTTACCTGATATGCCACATCTTGCGAAACCATGCATTTTTGTTCTTCAATGCGCTGCATATACTCTGGATCCTTCCAGCCGAATTGTGGTGCTAAGGAAATTATGAGCGCCGTAAACCAAACGCAGAATATCATACAGAAGACCCTACTAGGTGTGCGCACATTGCTGTAGTCAATATTTGTGACGGTCCAGTATCTGAAAAAAAAAAATAAAAAATTTCGTAGAAGTTTATAAATGCAGCACGATTCTGGTCGCATTTTTATAATTTTTAAACTTTCTTATTACTATTAATAACCCTCGAATATGCGGTGAACACCTTGAAGAAATAGTAATATTACTTTAAACTAAGTAAAAACAAAAACGTAATATTCATCAAACTAAATCTCCATGGGACTTGCGCCTCACGCCATACAGTTAACAAATGAAAATCAGAGCACCTAAAAAACCATTTCCGCTTCGCATGTGGGTTTACGCTCCCTCTGAGATTTATCCTGCTCTTTCTACTCACTCCAAATGCTTCAGTTGTTGTGTTAGATGGCTAAAATCTGTATGGATTTCTATAGTGTTAATCATCGGTACTATTCCAGAGAGTTAATATTAGAAGGAATTTAATGAGATACCCATATAGATTCTAAATAATCCGAGCGATAGGAATTAAAGTGTTTTTAATGAGAGACTGCATGAATGCTGCCACCCGAAGGTGCATAAATTTAACCACGCCACCACGACAGCATAACAGGAAGTAAATTTTTTAGTTAATAGTAAATTACTTTACTGCATTACAAACGGATAACATATATGAATATGAATTATAAAGAATTAAGTCCAGTAACCTTTCATTTTCTAAGTAATTTCCATGGAAATAGGTGCAGTGTTAAAATCGAGTAAAAATATGGGTTGTCATTTGGGCTCATTTATATTGATTTATATTGACTCTGTCTTTGTACAGCTTAGTAAGATGATCGGTTCTACACAAATAAAATTTTATAAAGACCTTTCTTAAAGTGAACAACTTCTTCTTCTTCTTACTTGGACGTTTGCTCCAGAACAGTGGCCTGCTTGCAACCGTACCTACTGGTAAACAGACGTTGCACCTATTTGTCGACTTCAAAGCCGCTTTCGACGGAACTAACAGGAGTTACGTATACGCCGTTATGTCTGATAAAATAATGTTGAGCAATACCACCAGCTCCGTCAGAATTGGGAAATACCTCTCCGTGCCGTTTTGTATGAAACGGGCTTTCAAGCAGGGCGACTCCCTTTTGTGGGATTTTTTTTAATCTGATGTTGGAGAAGATAATAAGAGCTGCAGAACTGAACCGCTCAGGAACAATTTACTACAAGAGCGTGCAATTGCTCATCGACATCATCGGTAACAAGATTCGCGAAGCCTGTTCTGCTTTTTCCGATTGTTGGGTATGGTAATCAACGAGTACTAGACGAAGTAACTCCTGTCATCAAACAAACAGTCAGCGCATTCACGCCTTGGCTTCTACGTCACTGTTGAGAGTTATAATTTCGAGAAAGTACAGAATTTCGTTTGATTGGCAACCAACATTAACACCTATAATAATGTCAGCATCGAAATTCAACGCAGAATAACTCTTGCCAACAAGTGCTACTTCTCTTTTATAATTTTCAATCGACATTTTGTTTACGTGGCGGACCCCAAGCAGAAGGCCAAACCAGCACTCGGGTCAAATGTGGAGAGCCGCTTGCTCCAGGGCAGACACCGACTTGCAGTCGCATCTCATGCAGACTTCAGTGAGCCCTTAAACCGAATGCGTCAGAGTGGGTCCACTAAAACTCCCTCTTTTCCTGGAACATCCAAATTGACTCGGAATTTAAAATATGGAGAGTTAAAAAAATAACGATAGTCGGATTTAAATTGAATTTGATTGAAATTCACTCGCAAGTGAACTACAGAACTGTATATCGTCACCTGAAATGCAAAATAACGTAACAACATTGTCACTGAAATGGAAAAAGTCGCACCTATTTTTTTTTTTCATAAAACGATGTGGGGAGTTTTAATTCGATGAAATCCATCATAGCAATCAAAAAGTGAATTTTTAATTTTTTATAAGTTACGTTATTTTGCATTTCATGTGACGATATACTTTTTTGCTTTACAACATCAATGTCAAATCATATTAAGGAATATATAAATTACCTTAATTTACGATAAATAATAAATGCTTGCCAAACACTAGGGTGTTCGATTAATTGCCTTTTTCGAAACCCGATTTTCCAGTTAGTGGAAGAGGAGCACTTTTAAAAACCGGGTGCCCATTTTAAATTTAGAAAAAAACTGAAGAAACCAGTTTTGTTTACATATATTTTTACTATAGTAACATTGTAGTAAATCATGACTAAAATTACAATTTCATCGCGAAAAATAGATAAAGCTATAATTTGGTAATCAATAATATTCAACAACTTTATTGCACTTGAGGCCGGTTTTGATCAAAAATGGTGTGGAAGAACAACAATAATTAACACATACAGTGGGGAGTAGTGATGAGTACATGATTAGTTTTGTTAAATATTAGCAAGATTTTGAAATACAAAGCTTTTTTGTTCTTTTTTCATAAACACATGGTATCAATTTTAAATTTTATTTTAGTGAAAAAATAACAAATATATTTAACTTTGAAAACCTTGCAAATATTTAGCGAATAACACCATGTACTCATCACTGCTCCCCACTGTAGGTAGCAGCTATAGTTACTATTTCGTAGGTCACCACATCTCCTCATCAGACTTCAATCAATAAGGTAAAATAAGTTGTATTTTGCACGACTTTCCGTAGTTCCTTGTGCTCGTTCCAAAATAGACACATCGTACACAAACCCTGTCGGAAGCAACAACAATCAAAAACAAAATAAGTTCGAAGTAGTATTTTGGATTACAAGTACATATAGCAGTACAAAATTAATAAAAAAATTCACACTAAATGGGGTTCACTGATCTTAACAAGATTAGATCGCTAAAACAACAATCCTTTGTCGGAAAAGACTCGATCATGTAGAACCGACTATCGTGGCAAGGAGATTACATCATTCGCTGAACTACGCCGACTATAAAAATATAGTCGATTATAGACAGTACATTCATCGGGTATCGATAAGCACATTCGGCAACTCTAACCCCTTGAATTCCACCAACGCAGGCGAAAAACTCGAGTTGCTTCGTCAGGCTCACTAATCACTTCTTTATATGCCCACTCGCATCAACTCATCTAACAACCTTCTCCCTGTTGCCGAAACCCCATTGGTATGGCCTTTTCCTGAGCCTGTCTTTAGAAAGTAGAAAACTTTCCAGCATTCAGATATAAAATTAATAAAAATGTTCAAGTGCAATTTTGAAAAAAATAAATACTTGATTGTAAAAATCCGGTATACTCGGTATTCGGAAAGGCAAGATTAGGAAAAAGCCACCTAAAGATATTATAAAACGGTTTGGAAAAACCGAGTCAACCACCCTGCCCAGCACAAATACACACACACACATTTACAAAATGCGTATTTATAAAGTAGATAGCTTTAGTCTATCAGAGGTGCGAATAGCAATTATATGTTTATTTATGTGGGCATAGCCATTTGCTGATTGCAATCAATAAATTCATTTTGATTCCAATTTACTGTTGGCTTTGGAAAATCAACGCTGAAAAACAATAAATCATAGCGAAGCTTCACATTGACATACGGGCATCAATTGAGTGTTTGCATATCAAATCAAATGTTTCCATGCATGTACGTATGTATGTACGCTCGCTTGCGAGTATGAATTGATATTAATTGGAAAAAAATAAAATAAAATAAAATTTAATGATTGACAGATTTTTTATCTTCGACTTTGTTGATTAAGCTTTAAAGAAACCTTACAAATGGTGAAAATTCCTTTTGATGTGTGAATTTCGTCAACGCGCGCGAGGCTAACTAGTGATGGTTTTATTTTCATTCTCATACGCTTTGCGCATTACTCACATCCATTTTACATCCATACGAATATTTTGTTTGGCCCGTTTTCTTTTGTTTTGCTTTGCTTTTGTTTTTTTGTTTTTTGTCTTATATTATTTATCTCGCCAATAGCACAGGTGAGTGACTTTGACTTTGAAATTACCCATAAGCGTATTTTGTGCGATAGCGGAAAATTGTAAAAATGAAAAATAAGCAAGAATTTTAATTTCCACTAGTAGACGCTTTGTTTGCCTAACGTAAAGCTAACATTTGAATGTACTCGAATTTTGTTTTCCCAAAAATGTTATTACGGCTACACGCTGTTGCTGCCATGCCGCGTTGTAGCCAACCGCGGCGCCAACAATGTCGACCAGCTGGCTATTAGAAACTATAAATGAACGCACTACAGCGTATAGTATGCAGGAGAGGTAAATTAAATTTTGTACAAAAAACATCCACAGCTAAGCTGGCAATGATATCCCAGTTTGCCATACAATGAGGATGAGTTCGAATCGAGCTCGGTTTGGTGAACTCGAAACGACGCACACTGAGGTGCTATCAAATAAACTACATTTTTTACATCTTCTAAAGTAGAGCGAATGTTTTCCTAGACATAAATATTTCTAATAAGAAAATAATTTAAATAAATTAAATAATTTTTATTATTAAAAAACTCGTCGAAAATAATTTGCATGTAAGAAAATGCAGAATTACTCAAAACTTCCACTTTATTGTATTAAAATTGAGTGTGCTAAAAAATTTGCATATTCAAAATCTTTTAAAGATTTTTGGAAAAACTTGTTGAATGCCTTTTAAATATTGCACAACGTTTGAAGCCTGGATTTATAGTTTATTGTTAAAACTTGTTCATTTATATTTTTTTTTTGTCTTTTTAACTTAAATTTCTATAAATTTTAAGATACTTTTTTTTAATAAAAATGTGTTTTTTTTCGTATTTTATTTTGAGGTATCTACATTTTATTCTCTTCTTTTTTTGATAACTTTTTATTGTTTCCAATTGAATTTTTAGATGTTATGGGATCAAAAAAAAAATAAAAAATCCGGCATTTCCAGAATTGAAAATTATCTTATGATAAACTTTCCTTTCCTTTTGAAAGACTTTCGTGAGTTGAATGACACCGGATGCCACTATCCAATCCCCAGGTAGAATTCCAAATTTTTTTCTTTTTTAGATAAATTTTTGAGATGTTTTAAATTTACAGTTATTCAAATAAAAAAGTGGTTCAACGTTATCATATATGTATATCTGCCGGAACAATTGAACAGTCTTAATACAAAATATGGCAAATGAAAGCTTACAAACATCACTATTCAACGTTATCATATATGTATATCTGCCGGAACAATTGAACAGTCTTAATACAAAATATGGCAAATGAAAGCTTACAAACATCACTATTCAGATTTTATTATTTTTTAATGAAAAAATGAAAAAAAATTCAAAACTCGGCGGGGAAAATATTAAGAAAATAACGAATTCTGTGTAAATTTATTTCATCTGTGTTAAAGCCTGTTATGTTACAAAAAAATCAAGGTACTAATGAAGACAATCGATGGATAAATAAAAAATTTATGTATGAGTGGTCATTTTGAATTTTTCCATGATAGTTTTCATCAATAACTGTTATGTTTGGTCCCTTATTTTCGCTATACCGCTCATAGTTCTCAACACTTCAATGCATTTTTTTTAATTAACAGATACCGTTAAATTCGAATTGGTGTTATCATTAATTCGATTTTTTTTGAAAATGTGACTTATGCCACTTTAAAAATAAACGGCTCAGCTGGATATTGACACATGTGTGAAAAAAAATGTTTCCAAATTTTTACCCACCATTCTATTTAATTTTCAACAATTTAAATCCAGTATAAGTAGTGTTAGCATTTTTTGGAAAATTTATTGTCCGATTTCGAGTTTTGATAGCCGGCGAACAGTCGTCGTCATCTTCTGTCGAGTTAACCGGCAGGCTGCACACGAGAACGACTCGTAATCGACTTTGATTCGAAGTAGTTTGGCAAATTGGGACGGCACAGTGTCGTTTACGCCATGTGCTCGAATTGGTAGTAGATTAGAGTAGCAATGCACATAGTAGGTACATAAATAGTTATGTTTGTAAATATGTACATGCATATTAAATAGTTAAACACATGTATACATAATTTAGTAGTTAAGTATTTATTGCTCATAAAAAAACAAAATGTCCAACTTCACAAATGTAATTTAATTATTTTTCATATTAAGTGCACAAATAAATGTGGAGAGATGGAGATACATAAATTTAATTAATATTGCTAAAATATCATTATTATTTAGGTATGAAAAGTGGATTTTCCGTTTGACCTTAGCTTTAATTTTGTTAGATATTATCCACAAATTTAATACGAATACACCAAATCGCTACAAATTTGAATAGCGAATAGAAAGATATATGATTGAACTCTTTGGCTTCCATAGCCTCTCAGAAATTAATAAAATAATAAAGAAATAAATCCGTAAATTAAAAACAAATGAACGGACAACAAAACAAATAATTTACCGCAGTGTTTAAATATTGATGACCAACTGTTATAAATTTCTAGCCAATTCCTAGTAAATATTTGCATTATTATTTCGAAATATTTTACAATGGGCTAATTCCATAGTAATCGTAACCAGATGCGATTATTTATACTAATTTTATTAACTCAAGCCTTATACGTATATCAGCAATTAAAAAAGTAAATAAGTAGTACCGCTACTTAAAACTCTCTTTAGGATTCGTATTAGTATGAACTACGTCCCGCGGGAGTTGGATACAAGTAGTGCTTATTCCAAAGCCTGGTAGGGGAAGACAAGAAATGGTTTGTAGAGCACTTAATCTATGGCGTATTAGGGCGCAACTTAGTAGGGTGGCAAGCCTTAAGCGGATAACACAATATTAGTAGATTAATTAGCATACAAAGAGCGGCATGTACGGGGATAATTGAGGCACTGAAATTCTGCCCTTCAGAACCACTGAATTTTTCTTAAATATCAATATGATCTCCATTGATCGTTGCCTAAAACAAATCCCGATGTACTCAGAAGCAAGACTCGAAAATTCGGGGCTGTGGAAAACAACAACATTTGGGCATAACTTAATCTTAATCCGAATTCCAATAGTTAAGAAATTCAGCCTGGATTATAGATTGGATGTAATTGGGACGCTTTCGACAGCATAAAAACATGTTGGTTCTATGTAGCGATGTCTGAATTGTGTACTTCGCGAAACTAGTATGGCTGGGTAAAACGGCAGCACGAATTGGAAAATTGGAAAGGACCTTTCCGAGCCGTTTGATACCAAATTAATTATATTTATTTTATATTAATCTTTACCTAAACTTTTTCAAAAAATTAATTCTGGAAATTTGCAAGGACAATTTTAAAAGGACTCTGAATAAGTATTTCGTCCTTATACACCAAAAAATTTCATACATAAAAGTGACGCTCTGGGAATTTGTTAAACAGTATTTCAGGAGAAAGTTGCTATTAATGTTTTAAGGAGTTTTCATTGCGGGCAAAAATTCGTCGTATAATGCTGTTTTTATTTTTTCGTTTTTACCACCATAAAAAATCTAAAACGGGGAGCCTGCAAAACAGCACTTCGCGTGGAAATGACCAATAAGTATTTATTTTCAAGATTCTCATCAGAGAATAAATTTTTCATTGCATACTGTTATCCTTTAAGACAAATTTATGTAAACAAAAATTGACAAAACAACTCACCTGTCAGCTGCTATCGCCACCAGATGCAATATGGACGCCGTACAGCAGAGCACATCGCACGATGTCCAAATGTCGCACAGCTCCGGGCCAAGTATCCAACCCTCGCTTATCTATGTGAAAAGAAAAATTGCAAACATTAATACAAAATTAAACAAAAAAAAAATAACGCACATTTCCCGTTTATATCAAAATGCAAAGTGGCAAACTTAGCCTCTATCGCCGCGGGAAGGGGGCGGTGCATAGCAAAACGAATTGTTTTGTAAGCATTTGTTACATTTTTTATTTGAAAATGTTTTAAACTACGAACCAAAAAAACAGAATTCCGCATGAATTACCTATCTCGCTCATGCAACAAATTAGTTGACAATAAAGTGCATACTGTAATATTTTTTATTCAAAACTTTTCCGTTTTTTACTACGAGTATGCGTTTTTTTTTTTAAAACTTGTTTGCTTTTGATTTATTTTTTTTTTTCTTTTTGTTTTTTTGCTAGTTACTAGGTGATAACAATTAATGGGAACTTTTCGCCACACTTACCTCGTAAACCGCGCCGAGCGGCATCACCAGACACGCCACCAATAAATCAGCCAGCGCCAGCGATACCACCAAATAATTAGCCACATTCTGTAGGTTTCGCTCGAGTATAATTGCCGCAATTACAAAAACGTTGCCTGTTGCAGGAGTTTTATTTCGTTCATTTTTTGTTTGTTCGTTTGGTTTTGCAGTTGACGTTGTCAACCAATGTGCGTGCCAAAAGTTTATCATTTGCATTTAATTTTATTTTTTTGTTAGCATAATTTTGAATTTGTTTTATTTGTTGCATGTTTTTTATTTAGGTAGGCAAAAAAGGAAACATTTTTTTTTTTTTTTTTTTTTTTTTTTTGTTTAAGTTGGATTAACGTAGCGTGGAAAAAGGTATTGTATAACATTTTTATGCATTTTAATTGTGTTTGTGGGAATTTTCGCAGCAGTTAGAGCAGCGAAAGTGACGTTATGGGTTTTTGTGCGAGAGTTTATTTAATTTGGTTTTTTATTGCAGTTATTTGTGTTGCAACAATGCAATATTGTTAAATTATCCGTAGCATTTAAATGAGATAAGAATAATATGAGAGGAATATTAGTTTAGCTATTAATATATATCTACATATGTGACATAAAAATGTGAGTTTTATGAAAAATTTTAAATATCGATACAAAGTTAGGGGTATATATGTAAGTATTCAAATACTTTTATTTTGAAGCTTATTTTATACAGGTTTTTTAATATTATTTATGGGCGAGAAAAATTTTTGGGATTAGTTAGGGGCTAGCTCAGAACCAGCTCGGAGATAGTTCGGGCTCAGGCGAGAACTTTCTCGGGACCAGCTTGGGAGTATGTCGGGAAGAATCTAAAGACATACAAAATTTTTTCTTACTCATAATTATTATGAAAAGACTTCTAATATAAATTCCAAAATGAAATTCCTTGAAGACTTAAAAAATATATCCCACTGATAACACTGCACTCCGTATCTGTTTATGTATACCGGTTTTCTACAAGATCAAGATAATTTCCTTTTTATGAAACGTAAAATTCAAATTTTAATATGAAATGAAATTAAAAAAACAACAGCTTTTAAGCTGTTTAAGCTTTGGCGGGACAGTACCGATTTTTAGAAACTTGTCCGGCCGAATATTTTTTAAAAGTCGGGACGTGCAAGTGTTCCGCTTTTTCATATTTGTACCGATTAGGTACCGATTTTCAGTGTTTTATTTATTAATTTAACAAGAATCTTCCTGTACTCTGGCTCAAAAAAAAAAAAATGTTTCATACAAACGTGTTAGCACTTTCGTTATCACAAAGAACATATAATATAGGGGAGCCACAAACATAGCCATCATCCTTATTTTCTATGGGCTTTTGGTTATGTTTTATTCTGTCAAACTGGTACCCCCGCTATATTGCTGTCATCATTCTTATCAACAATTTTTTTGAGGTTTTTATAAATTGTTGTTAAGTTTTTTTTTTAATGAAACGATTCTAACTTAAATTTTGTGAAATTATAAGAAAATATAAGATGTTGATCCAATGATGAAAATTGAAATGGCATTTCTTTGCAATTCCCCTTTTGATTATTTAATGTTTATTATTTTTTTATGAAAGTGGAGCTCGTTATATACCAAAAACCATTTAAATCAATAAAAAAAAGTTTTATCAAAATTAGGAGCTTTTTAAATATATTTTTATAAACTTTCTGAGTACGCAGTTTTGTAGCCTATTCAATTCTAGTAAAACAAAGTGCAAATTTGGTAAATTTTTTTGTGGAAGGTGTTGGCCATTTGCACTATACAAAAAATTTTCGAACATACTTTGAAGGGAAGGAAATGCGCGAACAAAAAATTGCCACAAATCAACGGTAACTCCAAGCTACTTCGAGCTTGCGCTTTGTTAAACTAAAGCAGAGTTTGCATTATTCAACTTTGCGTTCAACAATTGCGTTCAACTCAACGCAGGGTTGCAAGAAAAAAAAAGTTGAATGGCTAAATGTTGGCTGGCGACCAACTTTATTGAAAGCGATTAGTTGAAAGGCCATTCAACCAAAAGTTGAATGCAAAGTTGAACAATGCAAACACCTTTTTATGGCGAATATTTTGATATTTTTTCATATTTTGATATTTTTAGCCATTCAACTTTTTTTTCGTGCAACCCTGCGCTGAGTTGAACGCAAATGTTGAATGCAAAGTTGAACAGGGCAAACACACTTTAAGATTTGATTAAACATTTTAAAATTTTGATCAATATTTGTCAAAATTCATCGCATTTTTGTAAATGTTCTACAAAGTTTGAAATCTTCCTTTATAGGTTTTTCAGTTATTAGTAAGCTATATTTTCAAAAAAAAGTCATACACAGGAAAATGAACAGATCCAGAAAAATTGTGTACAGATCCGCAATGTACGACCCAAGATTAAATCATGATATAATTAATAATCTGGGTCTCTTATAAAACCATACCGAAATTTACGGTATTACATGCCCTCAGAAGCTCCTTTGATGAATAATACGCGTTAAAGAAAAACGCATGTGTCTTTAGCACACTTTATCGCATCCTCTTTGTCGTATTTTTCAATTATTTATTCAATTAAAATTGGTCTCACCGAACCAAATATGCCCTACAAATATGAATGACGTTTTTTCCTTTTTCTGAAAAAGCTCTTTTGTGAACCTACGGTGCTGTATGCATAAATATTTCACGAAAATGATTTCAAGATAAATATTGATACACGCGGATTCTGTGATTCTGTGCATATGCCACTTTTTTATTATTTATCAGGAATTGGAATTCCAGCACAGCAATCAAATGCTCTTTTCTTGATAAACTATCAAGATTGAAAATGCTATTGACGAGCGTTTACAAATTAAAATTTCACATGAAACTTATAAATTTTGTATTTACAATTTTTTTTTTTGAACCTGCGACACACAAAATTTATAGCCGACATCTCTACCTACTCGGCTACGGAAGTCTAGAGCTTTTTTGCCTTTAAATTCATATTTTTCATTTTATTATTTTCATTATTTTTTTTTAAGAGCTTGATAACTTTTTTTTTAAAAAAAACGCATAAAATTTGCAAAATCTCTTCGGTTCTTTATTTGAAACGTTAGATTGGTCCATGACATTTACTTTTTGAAGATAATTTCATTTAAATGTTGACCGCGGCTGCGTCTTAGGTGGTCCATTCGGAAAGTCCAATTTTGGGCAACTTTTTCGAGCATTTCGGCCGGAATAGCCCGAATTTCTTCGGAAATGTTGTCTTCCAAAGCTGGAATAGTTGCTGGCTTNTCAAAGCATACTGAGCATCTTTCTCTTTGACACCATGTCTGAAATCCCACGTGATCTGTCAAATACTAATGCATGAAAATCCTAACCTCAAAAAAATCACCCGTTATGACAATGGGAATCATGGAAATCGTGGAGCATTTTATTTTATAAATATTGACATAGAATGCAAAGGCAGCTTTTACTTGATACTTGGTACTTAGCAAAAACATACGTAAGATTAATTTTGCATTAATTCAATTCAACCGCCTCCTGGAAAGCTATTCACTTAAAATCTTAAAATAGGAAAACGAACTAAATCGGTCCAGCCAATCTGAAGTGTTAATGTGACAAGGAGACTACTTTGTAAGTAGGTGTCATATTAAATACCCGGCCCACACTCTATTTCAAACACTTATTTATTGTCTCCTACTCAAATATCGTTTTTACCTGCCTTGGCAACAAAAAAAACAAAGAAATATATTTGAAAGAAAAAATACACAAAAAGTAATAACATTGCATTCATAAGCAGAATTTCGACGTAAAGAAAAATCGCATTAAAATTCAATTTTCTCAATTCAACAAATTTAGTGATGCTATGAGTACAAACATTGATATATGTATGTACATAGTTTACAAGCATGTACATATACACATGTAGGTACCTAACTATATACTATTCGAAATATGAATTTTATCATTGCTTCTGAATATTATGAGCGCCAAAAGCAGCGCACACATTTTTGGGTATTTTTTTCGTTTCCATCGCTACTCGCACTTAACCTTATGCCAGGGTCAGTAAACACTTTTTATATGAAAAAGCCTTGAACTTTGCCATGGTTGCCGGCTAAGGAAATTGATTGTGAATGTCATTGCTGTGAGTAAGTATGTATGCACATATATTTGTATGTATGTATGTATATTCACTTTAAGCTTAAGAGTGAAATAATATAAATAAGTAAAAAAAAGTGTTGACAAAAATTGTGAGAGCAGTGCTGTGCGCATCCAACAGTAAATGCAAATGCAAATGTGGCAATGAATACTCATTCTTCTTACCATACAAAGCCAGTTTATACACTCTTAGTGCAACTAAATTCACCACTTACACTTACACCCCCTGATTTTACATTTTTTTTGTATGCTCTTCTCATTGTGCATCGCATATTTATTTACTTGCATGCGAGTATGTGAGCAAGTGTAAATCAACGACAAATAGTTTGTTTGTCAATGTTTATGCACTCAAAGTATACCTTGGTGCACTTAATGACTTTTCGTTCAACTCAAGTCAACACCATGCAACAACATCATGCAGTCTCAGTAATACGACTATGTCAAATGCCACATTCCGCATACCACATGCCACACGCCACCATTGCAAGTGTGCACATGTGTACATAAACGATCCCAAATGTGTATTTATTGCAGCCTGCAGCTAGTGTTATTGTCAGGACAACACACACACACACACACACACACACACACATATATACACACATGTGAAATATGAAAAGCATTTGCTGTCAACGCCTTTTCACTTGCTCGCATAAACACATACACCTAAACTTATACACATACATACATCTGTAGATATATGAGCGTATATATACAGGTAAGTGCTACAGAGAAAACAAAACACAAAACCTTAAAGTTTATATGCAAATGACACTTTTGTATGCACCACGCTTTCACATACACACACACCTACCTACACATCGCTTGCTCGTAAATGACTGTGTAATTGAGTATTGGTCTGACGCTGAGCAAACTTTCGTTTTCATTTAGTTGATGGAAGCTTAACCTTGCTAACGACAAATTTGTAAGCATACATATGTACATTACACTGCATCACCAAAAACAGTTGCGATTTTTGCGC